CTGCCCCAACCTCCTGAGTAGCTGGGACTACAGGTGCCCTCCACAACGCCAGCTAGTTTTTCTGTTTTAGTAGAGACAGGGTCTCACGCTTGTTCAGGCTCATCTCACACACCTGACCTCCAGGGCTCCACCCCTTCCTGGGCCTCCCAGAGTGCTGGGATTCCAGGCCAGAGCCACCACGCCTGGCCCACTCCTCCGTTTCTCAAAGTATGAAGTAGAGGTAAGACCAAAATCTATTTCCTAGGAGTCGTTGTGAAAATTAAGTAAATTATTCTCTGTAAAGTGCTTAGAGAAGCGCTGGTCTCATAGGGATCAGTATTTAACTGTTGACGCCAGGGCTGCCTCTTCTTGTTGGGCTTCCCTCTCACTAAGCCACTTCCTAGAATCCCCACTCTGCGGGGACTCTCAGGCTCCCTGCCTTGCCTATTTTAGACAATCCCGCAGCTTTTACCTGTCTGATCCCTTGGAAGGGCACCAAACTCCCTCGCTGTAGTTTCTCCCCTAATTTATAATCCTGCAGTGCTGGCTACTTCCTGCTATCTCCCAGAGACCTCTTGACACATGGGAGGCAACATACCACACTTACTTGCCTTCATTACCCGGTCAGACTAGGTCCTTCATTGGATGACCGTATTCCTGTTAATAGCATCGCAATTTCCTTAGCGAGGCTGCGAGTTCTGAATTTATCTCTGTCCCCCCTTCTCCCTTTACGGCCTGTCTTCAAGGTGCCAGTTCCTATTGATTGCCTCTGAAATACCTCTTGCATCTTTCTCTTCCTTGTAATTCCCACTGCTACCATAGTCTAGGTTCTCATTAATCTCTTTCTTGTCTGAATTGTAACAATAGCCAACTATCCCGTCTTCACAGCTGTAGACTCAACTTCAACATGACAAGAAGCATTCTTCTAGAGTCAGACGCTCGTGACACACCTTTCTCTCTTTCTGTTTTATGTGATGTTTTATTCATGTCTTCTCTCCTTGACGTGAGAGACTTTGACCAACTACTTCACCTCTGTATCCTCAGCACCTAATGGTACTAAAATTATTAAATTTTGTAATGTTATTAAATATCATTATCATTGCACTCACATGGTATATTATTAAATATGGTGTGTTATTAAAAGTGGCACTACTAAATTTTAAATATTGGTAAAATTATTTGTTGGGTTAATTATTGAGTAAATCCATTTTCTGTCCTTGTTCTGCTCTATAGGACATGCACTTCATCTATCTAAATTGAATTTCTACTTAATTCACTGCCTGTTCCAACATCATGAACATTCCCCATTGATTGACCAATGTCTAATGTCCCCCCCATCCTGAAATAAAGGCCCCAAGTAAAAGCCTAGACTTATTTCTAGGAAAACTCCATTCTGGTCAGAATATTCTAGAAGTTTGGTTTTAATTGGGGGCATGATGGTATTAGTTGTGATTTCAAAAACTTCCTTGGGCTGTAATTACACAAGTCAATAGAGAAAGCAGATGAATTCACCTTTCCTTATCAATTACACCTGCTCCTGTAATGGAAGGTGTAGTAAGTTAGGAGTTGGCCAACATAGCCCAGGTGCGAAGACACTCACCAGGGAAGAGAGTTAAATAAAATGTAAATATTTAAGTAAAAATATTAAGGCTATAGCATTTCCTCAAAACTTTTAAATTAAAGCTTTCTGTTTTTAGATATAAAAGACAACATAAAGTGATTCCAGAGTTTTCCTCTGTTTCCCTTAAACTCATTTCACTGCACCTATATTCTAGATACTTTGTTACCCTGTTTTATTTTCTTTATTTTTATCTATTTACTTATTTGCAGTTTTTGACCAGGGTCAGGTTTGAACCCACCACCTCCCGTATGTGGGGTTCTGGCCCCACTCCTTGAGCCACAGGCACCACCCATGTTACCCTGTTGTAATTCATGTCAAACTTGCTGTGTGTTTGCCCCTGGTTATACTTCTTCTCTAAACTAACATTATTTTAATTCTTGAGCTTTTTAAAAAATTGAGTGACATACTCTTTTTTTCACTGTATACATATTATTATACTTTTAATGTGCATTTTCAAGATTAAAGCATTGCTCTCATAGTATTTGGAACTTGCTTTGTTCTGAATCTCACAGATTTTTTTCCCCCGTGAATTCAGCTTAAAGGATACTGTTACTTGACAGGTCTTAAAAGTTCTGACCTTGTACTGACACTGACCTCACCACTGCATGAACAGAAAGGGTTACTCAAACATCTGACTTGTTCATTAAAACACTATTGTTTTGAACATGGAACTATTTCCAGAGACAATGATTTCAAAATTTGAGGAAATTACACATAGAACAACTCTCTTCTAAATAGTTTTTATTCAACAACTGTAATAATGGTTGTATTCAAAGGAAATTAGCAAGCCCCATTCTGAAAAATAAGGCATTCTTAAACTTTAGCAAAAATAATTAATTTTGCACATCTAACATACATTTGGTTAACTCCACCCTCATTAGTTTCAATCACAAAGTTGGTAGGTGTGCTTGTTTGTAAATGGCACAAATAAGAATTAATATAATCAATCAATAGAATTAATCCCATTTCTGTTAACACTGAAATGATCTAAATGGCGTTCATTGAACCTTATTCCATGTGCCTAAACTCTCAAGAAAATATTGAAAATTCCTCGAATACCGCTTTTTCAAATAAAATGGTCTATGTGGGTATTTTAAAAGATAGAAGTCTGCCGACCAGTTTAAGAACTACACCCATTACTACAAATATCAACAATTACTCAATTACTTTTGTCCTCATAAAAGTGGCACTGTTAGACAGCCAATGTTAATTCCTTCCAAAAGATGAGCTTTCTTATTACAGAAGAAAATATCCCTCTTTCACAAAATTGCATAATCAAATGCCCATCATTTGTTTGAAATGTTAATCTTACTTCTATTACCTGACCAGGAAATAAAGAAATTGGCAAGAAAACAACGTTAGTGCTCTTTTCGTCCTTTAGCAGTTTCAACCATAGCCTGTGATTTTATCCCTATCTATAAATGTACTTAATGCACCCAGGGAAGCCTGGACATAGTCTATCTGGGAAATCTCCCTTTGTTACTACTTGTCATAGAAACTCTGCAGCTATGAGGGACCCTCACTCATAAACATGGCGCTGGGAACAAAATTCGCTAGTAGACAGACGTGCCTTGGGTTGCATCCAAGGACTGTCATTCTGATGCTCTTTTGCCAAGAGCAAGGTCCCATCCGTGAGCCCTCAGGAAACTGTCACCGCAAGGTTACACTGTGGAAGAAAGGTTTTTCAGCCTCCCTCAGCCATCTGAAGGACAGCAGAGACTACCCTTTGCACTTACAATATACTTTGTCACCCTGTTTTAATTCATGTCAAACTTACTGTGTGTGGCAAAGCTAAAAACTTCTGGTCTCCAATATCTTCCTCTCTTCCTATCTCACTAGTAATTTAAACAGATAACCAAATGTAAGAGATCCATATTCTTTACAATCCCTTTAAATTCAAGAAATAACAAATAACTAGTTGAATGTCTAAAAATGTATAAATGTTTATATTAGCCCGTTATGGCATTCTGTAGTTTAAAAAAATCTGCTCAGAAATACTTTTTAAGAAGTGGTCATTGCTTGCTCAGGGATCTCGATTTACCTTAATTCTGTTTGGGGCCAGAGACAGTGTTCAATTTCCCATTGCAAGTTTGAGAGTGACTCATTTTACTGCTTGTGAAGTGTTTTGGACTGGAATAGGAATGCTCAAAGCAGAAAGATATTCCTTGGTAGCCAAACAAATACCGCTCAAATAGTAATAATCAATAAATAATAAATATGTATGCCATAAAAATAAATGAGGTAAATTAAGCATATTTATTTTATGAAAGGAGAAAGGACTCTTTCTCTGCTACAAATGTGTGATGATCTGAGCCCACCTATCCGGCATCCATCTGATGCCAGGATAAGTGCAGTGTCAGAGGACAAGAAAAAGTCAGGAGGCCCATTTGTAGCTGAAGTTTGCAGAGGCTGATAGAAGTAACCAATACCTGCTGTCGAGAAAGATTCTGTTACCGATACAGAGAGTTTCTTCCTTTTCTACCAGTAGTAAGCAGGTGCCTGCTTTGCTTTAGAAAATATATAACGTGTCTTTTGAAGCTTTAATCATTGGCAACTGATATTAAAGCGAGACAGGTAACTCTTATGCTTTGGGAAAGAAAAATTGACAACTGAGGAGTCAGTGGTTCACAAAGACTATTAAAATGACTAGGCCAGAAGTTTGCATCGCCTGTGTGTTTTTAATACATGACCACTTCAAAGCCAAGGGCTACAACGACTTACAGAGACAGAAAATCCCCTGAATCATTTCATTGTTTTCATAGTTAAAATGTTTCTTGAGTTCCTACTGATATTAACTCCCTGAAACTCCTCACATTAGGTATATGCATTCTCCTTTCCCTCCCGTAAAGACTTGCTTTCTGACTTGCCCTCACATTTCTGTTTGCTGGAGGAACAGATGCTCAGCTCCTAAGGGTCAGAGTTTGGCCCTTTCCCTTCTATCAGGAGAGCAGAGGGAAGGGGGGTTCTGAAGCGATGGCGGCAGCTTTCCAGCAGTTGGCTTATACTTCTACATTTAAAGTAAGCAGGTGGCACCAGTGGGTTGTCTAATGACTAACAAGATAAGAGTGCAATTGATCTTTTTATTAACCCATCTCCCCAGGTGGGTGACTGCCTGCTCCTCCCCCTTGGGTTCAGTTACATTGTTCAGTTCCAGGAATCAGTTTAGACCCTTTCACTTTTTTTTTTTTGGTCTCAGCTGCTCCTGAAAGCACAGGGGCACAAACGCTCCCTGATATTTCATCTCACCTAAATTCTAGCCTCCCTGTACCTCCAAATTGGCAAATACCTTGATGATTTGAATCTGGTATACAGCAACATTTAACACAGATGCTGACTTGCCATCCACCCTTTTGATCCCTGGTGGTGCTGAACTTGAACTGGGGATTTGTTTGTCTTCTAGGTCACAGACCACGAACTTTAAACCTCACGACCAGTTCTGAAGAGTATGGAGCCTACATAGAACCCCAAGGTAAATGATTCATTTCAAAATAAGATGTAATGAATTCGATGATGGTATGATTCAGGCTTCCTCTAAGGGTGTTGTGTCGTGTCTGTTGGTGGTTTTCTAAGTTATGATGTTGGGTGATCTTTTAGTGCAGGGTAGAGTCATGATGCTGGGGAGAGAAAGGGGAAGAAGAAACCACATGTGTGAATTTCCTCTCTTCAGGAGTTACCTGCTGTATGTGCTGAAGGCTGGCTGTCTCCCTGGGTTTCTTATGAAAGTATTCTTGTGATCTTAGGAAGCTCACGCCTGGACGTTATGAATCACATGGGCAAGTAGAGCACAAGTAGAGTTGCTATTTGTGTAAAGGACATTAGAAATGATGTGCATCCTTTGTGGGAGCAGCAGAGGCACAGAATGTCCCACTGAGGCCACCTCTGCCGCGGCTGATGTGAGATGAGGAAGTGTGGGATTAAGGGACTAGAAGGGGACGGCCTCCTGTTTCTGTTTCTCTGAATCACCATCATTTGTTTTCCTGGTTATTATTAAGCAGTTGTATATGCCTAGCAGCTATCAATTCTCTATGAAGAATCATACAGAATCTTTGATTCCACCCACAGCAAAATGATTAAAAGTCTGGACTTTAGAGCCTAAAGTCACATTGTGGTCCTATCACTTACCAGCCATGTAACCATAGGCTTCAGATTTCTCATCTACGATGTGAAAGAAATAATCAGACCCACTTCCAAGACATGTGTCATCATATAAACAGGTAGCATAGGTAAAGCACTTAGAACGCTGCCTGGTACCCGGGAAGCACTAACCACCATTCTGATTGACCAGGGCTCTATTTCCTACCTCCTCTCTTTGTTTGTTCCACTCTCTCAATTCTCTCAGCCTATAAATTTGGGAGCCTGGGAATTATTAAGGGAACCAAATTCTCAGTTCCCTTTCAGCAGCCTCTCTCCTAAAGGAGATATATTATACCTTCATGTAAATGCCAGGAAGGAAAATAATTGGCATCCTATTGCCCTTTGAATGGGTTCCTGGCGAGCCCTGGGTGGTGTGACGTTGTAAAGCGACCTGAAAGTGGGGGCCTGCCAGCCCGGTGCTCGGGGGGCAGCGCGGTGGGAGAATCCATCGGAAGCCTTGTTGCCATTTCAGAAACGTGCAAACATCAACTGGCATAGAGTTTCAGGAAGCAGAATAAAAAGGACCCGACGAAACAAAAAGCCTTTCAGGGGATGGAGGCACAACTCTTCCCAAATCACAAGCGGATGATTATGATCGCCATTAGGGCTTAATAAGCCTGTGTGTGGCTAAAGATTTTACCTCTCCAGTAAACTCGCCAATCGTCCACGTTTCTACCCACATTCATCCTGCTCTGCTAAGAAGCGTAACACAGGGTGTGCGAGGAACGAGTGGTCAGATTCTCCGCTCCTCCATTAGCAAACACAGATTATCAGTTCTACGCCCCCCGCCCCCCACCCCCCACCACGGGTAAGGTTTAGAAAACCCTGAAAAATCTGGATCCAAACCCCCCAACTCTCTGGCCTAGTTCTCGCATCCCCAAAATGCGATCGGTCACTGTCCAATTTACATTTATGGAATGATAGGCCACTGTCCTATTTCCGAGATAATAAAAAAAAAACGTGAAATTCGTATTTTAGCATAAAAGATATTTAATTTCAGTATTTGTTATAAATGCTATCATTTATTAAATCTATATTTTTATTTTAATAACCCAAATGTAGAAAATGGTATTATAAGGTTTAAAAAAGCTGTCCATCAATCCTCTTAAAAACTATTAATTAGAACAAGAAGAACTAAACAGAAGGTAGAATCTTTTTTAATTAACCATATTATTAAAATATTTCTATGACATTTTTTGACAGGGATATTTACTGTTCAAATCATTTATAGGGTCAAAAGTTGGCAAAGCAAAAATAATGGTGATTTCTTCTATAGAATAGATATTAATTGTAGGCTACTTACTGGGAGTTAAACTTTTTCATGCAAATAAGAGATAACATTCCCTATCATGATTCCTATGTAAAATTTCTTTAATTTTTCTATTTTTAAAATATCCAGTAAATATATCATATCTTAAAAATATATACAATGTATGAAAAGCCAGGAAAATAATGATTACTATGGAAGAGGTGATTTAGATGTTAGGACAATGCATTAATGTAATACTTCAGAAATTCCCGATATGTTAAAATATTCCAGCATAGTTATTCTGAGGTCTCCATGCTGTCAGTAAACTACAATTGTTAAGATTATGTGAGAAGCAGTGATTGGATGATGCCCATTCCTTGAAACTAGCATTTTAGGAAAGTACCATTGTTAAAAATATGTGGCAGGGGTTGCACTTTGGACTCCAGCTCTGCACTTGAACTTTCTGAGTGATCTTGAATAATTAGCGTCTAGCCAACTAAATTTTTTGATATACCATTTGAAGAAATGGAGAGAGGCTAATTTTAAGGAAAAGAAAACTTTCAAGCAACAAAAATGTTTAGCTGAGTGCAGCATACACCAAATCTACCAAATTCTGCTATCTATCCTTCCTTATGCCCATGCCTGGGCCTCTTTCTACACTGATCATCAACTGAAGACTAAAAATGCTAGTTTAAAATGAACACCCCTCATATTCACTGGAAAATTTAAAATCACACAAATATACACACACAAATGGCAAACTGAATTTACTTTTTGGTCTCACCCACTATATATGTGAAGCCTTCTTAAATGTTACTGATTTCTACTAATTTTATTAGGGGATCTATATATAGTAATACGCCCAAAATTGTTCTACAACAAAGTAGCATAAAAACAGTGTGAAGTGTGGGACCAGCTCTTTGCAATTTATTTATAGAAGTAAAATCAACACGTACAAAACAAATATGAACACCAGAAAAAGTATCCATGCATGCTCATTTCAGTAGAATAAATTACGAGTTTCACTGGAGTCCTCATGGAAGACATAGGACCTAAGATGGGGTTTTAATAATGTATAAAGCTTCAATATGTTGTGCTCTGAGGGACTAAATAGCCAATGATACTATGAATTTACATTGCCCAGGGTCCATGTGATGAGGTATCTGATCACTAAACACAAAGAGTTCATTGAAAGGGCTATGTAATTCTCTGTAAAGCTGGGTAAATTCCAGCAAGCATGCCTCTCTCTCTCTACATCCAGTGAAAGTCTGTAGGCATCTCCGCAAAATGCCTTGCTGAGCCAGAGTCTAAGCCATTCCCCTCATGCTTCAATAGGGAATACACCAGGCCGAATGCAAAGAATTCAGTCCCATCAGACAGAACAAGGGCTACCAAGCTGAGCTACTGTCTTGAAGACATAGATGTTGGTCTTGTATTTCTCTGAAACAGACACCCAGAGGACCAGGGTTTATCAGGCATAGGCGTTTTCTCCCTAAGGACTCAGTCTCCTTAGCTCTGCCTATTGGTCCATTGAGCTGCTCTGTTTTGGTTTCTGACCAAGCCCAAAGTGAACAGGTTGAAAAAGCCAGTGAACAGAGAGGGTTTTGAGAGTGTAGAAGAGAAGTCCATTTCTGTAAACTAACCCCCTGCCATCTAAGAAAAAAAAAAATGACATCATTCTCATATTAATAATGCAAAACTTGCCTCACAGAAAGAAATGTAAAATTTGCTGTCAGTCTCGAAATTTTAAGTTGCATTGTGTTATGAAAATAAACCAAGCCTGCCAATGACAAAAAACATACTTACCATTATTGAGGGTTTGGGGTGTGCTTGCTGCCCTGTTATAAGCTTTAGTTTATACCTATCGCATCCAATTCTCACAACATTTACATTAGAAAAAAAGATACTGTCCCAACTTTGAAGATGAAGAAATGGGACTCAGAGATTCAATGTGATCCAATTTGACAAGTAGCAGATGACAGAAGTCAGGATTTGAACCCACATCTCTCCAAGGCCCAAGGCCGTCCTCTTTCCATTATGGGCTCTGCCTTTCCCACCTGTGTCTGATGATACCTGTGTTATATGCTCAGGTACCAGGAAGACAACTGAGCTGACAGTTTTATTGCACGTATGTACATTAACATCAACCAATACTTATTATTTAGTCCCATGACGTCAATGAATGTTTTGCAAGCAGATGGACTACAAATTCAGAAAAAAAAAAATCAATGACTATTTGAGTGAGCCAGTGAAGGGTGCAGAGTAAAAGCCTCATGTGCTTTTTCTTGGAAGTAAAATGAAAGCCATAATGTTAATAAAACAGACCAATGCTCATACTTAGTCTCCCCTCCCCAAAGTAAAAATCAATCCAACTAATTTGACTCTAAGTTGATTTTGCTCCTTCCATAAACTTATTTCCCAATGGAGTTTCTTAATTTTTACCTCCAAAATACAGAATCCTGCTTATGGCCTTCAGATTCAAGGCCAGGGTACTTCCTAATCGCTTCTCATTTGTTATTCACTTTGTCTTCACATTCTTTATGTTCCTAATCCCGTGCTCATGAAGGGTCTCGGTCATCCTGTCTTCCCTTCCTCTTGTCTTTCAAATGTCCGTTGTACTCAGCCCCCAGGATCTGAAGTTCTGAATGTGCCCAAAGCCTCCCTCAATAAATTAGATATAAAACACTGCATTCCTTCTATGGAAATTACCTTTCCTCTATAACCCAAAACGTTACCAGTGCTACCATGTATTCATTTTATATAGAGTAGTTTATCGACAGTTAGATTGTACTTTTCATTAATCTATTTTTTCCCAGTTACAGTAGAAATGCTAGAAAATTTTTAGATATAAAAAAAACCACAAGGAAAAAAATAAAAATTAAAAGCCATCGTTTATGCTAATACTTAGAGAAAAGCAAAGCATTATTAATATTTTATTGTATTTCTTTCCAGTTCTTATTTTAATACATTTGGTTTTGTTTTAACTTAAACTCTTCCTGCCTTTCTTTAGATAATATATATATATTTTTTTCATTCTGCTTTCTTTCCCCTAAAACTGAGCCATCTGGTTTCACCCAATTCCCTAA